AAAAAATCTTCTTTCTGGTAACCCTATGAGGGTAGTTTAATGAAAATTGTAGTATTCAATTGAAAGCTTCAAAATTTTGGTTTTCTTGGCACAATTAAGGTTTTCAAAATCCGCAAGGTACAGTTTAGATTTTCCTGATGCACCTAGGAAACTGACAGATTTTCCCATAAAGCCATTGAAAGTTTTGCCATTATCATTTGAAAATCGAAATTTGTGGTAGATTAGACACGCCTACACATGAGACCAGAAAAACCGGTAAAGCTGGAAAACGCTATATTTGCTTCGTGGAGTCATTTGTAATTCAATGTATCGACCTGCACACAACGCGCGCCGGTCGAATGTTTTTTGCTAGTAATTCTTTAGAAACATTTATTAGGGTAACGAACTGTAAAAATGTGAATCACTGACTGATACATATTCAATGAAATCAAATCAGACAAGAAAGCAAGAACACTGAAAATAAGCAGGTTCTAGTCTTACAAGACGTCAAGTAGCGCGCATGGTGTGCATCATGCATATTGAGTTACAAACAGCTCTAGGTAACTCTTCACTATTCGAGCAATAAACCATAAGAGTGCCTAAAAGTATCTAAGATAAATTTTTTGCAAACAAACTACTTTGTCTTTTTATTAACATATATTTTATAAACAAATTAGACCAGAACAGAGGCGATGAGGTGGATGTATTTCGTGGTTTTCTTCGCAACAGTTGCATACAAAAAATATCGCCTTTTACAACAAATAAAGCAGCAAATCAGAGGGGAATCACAAAATACATTGATTAGAAGTTTCCATTGGGTACAGTTTTGAGATCAATGTTGAGCTATTCGGCGTAGAGTAGATTGGCGCTAGATCAGTTTTTAGTCATTCTCATAGTCATCAAAATATGGAGCATCTATATAATCTGCGGTAAAAAGACGATTTCGTGAAGGTAGTAAGTCTGCAGGGGGTCTTTCAGGAACAACTTCAACATTAGACTCAGCTATAATCGCATCACTTCGTCAGTACTAGTATAAACATCCGAGTCATTTCCAAATGATGGAAACAGTGCTCGAAACAAAATAATTAACAGAAAATTGGTAATCGATGCTATGATACCCAGTTGTAGCAGCGATTTTAGCAGTAGAGTAGCCATGTGATCGAATTTTGTCGAGATAATAAATCCAGCTTCCATATGATTCATTGCACAAATGGTATTATGTTGAACTCGTAATTGATTGACACGTTTTTGCTTAAATAGGCAGAGGGAACATGAATAACATGCACGACATGTTGTCCCATACATAATTAAAAAGTAGGATTTTTGTAAGATTACGGTAGATATATTGTAAGGGTCATGTTATCGGATTTCATGTAATTTAGGAAAGGAGTTATGGCATTTCCACCACTGTTATCAACTATTACGGTGTTTAATAACTTACCGCTACCCTAAACACCAGCATTTATCGAGAACTGGGGCACCTGCTAAGGGTACAAATACATGATAGTACTTCTGTATGTATAAGCTATATGATCATGATGTGATACGATATGATATGATATGTGTGTCGGAGAAGATCGGGACTTCTAGGAGCAGAGTTTGCCATTTTACACCATTCATTTTCTTTATTTCTAGCCAAGGAAAAATACGAAAAGTGTACAAGTGAATGTTCGATGTGTCAAGCATATGCTAGGATAAACTGAAATTTTCAAAGATCGTTTTTGTATGCTATGATGTTTCAGCTCAAAACTTCAGGTGGAATATGATTTAGGCGGACTATTGATAGCCAACTCGTAGAACTTGCTTTGCTTTGTCGAATGATTACTTGAGCCACATCATGGATGGTAAGATACAAAAAGTAGAGTTGTGATAAAAACGGTAGAAATGTATGAGACACCCTAATAATCAACTCCCTATTGCTGATCAAGACCATTCATCTATAGTAACCCACAAGTAATGTCCCACGCAAAAAATCAATTTTAACTAGCAAATCGAAAAATCACTAAATCTATGATTCTGCACCTCTAGATCGCGTTCATCAGATTATGTGTCTTGCATAAATTTGAGGAATGCAAAAAATGCCCAGCTGAAAGCTGCAGTCCTTAGTTTTTCATAATAATCTTTTCGTTGTGTACGATATTTGATGACTCTTTTCCATATTTTGAAAGTGTCACATTTAAACAGAATCAAAAAGCCAATAAGGGATCTAAGAATCACAAGCTTTTGTAGAGATATCCGATCTGTATAAATTTTAATCAAAGGATGGGTCATGGAAATAAATTTAAAGATAAAATCAGGAGCTGTTAACCTCCTAGCATGCTTAGAGCTGAAATTACAAAAATTAAATTTTGACGTCTTCTCAGGTTTTATAGCTGCGATATGGCAACAGAGATTTTTTTATCTCAAGCATTAAAGAAGGCGCGTGATTCCTTTTGTGACTTATAAGATATCGAAAGAGTTCATCAAATCTGATTTGCGATTTAAGTTTCTTGTTTAAGACTTGCATCACAACCTGGTAATTGTAACGTTTGCCGAGCCAAATATAGCTGAACTGTGTACTCGTAATCGAATTATTTATTCGGAGCATTTGAATATTTAAGTATTTGAACAGTCGGATACTTGAGAAAGTGCATTCTTACAATGATTCAAATGGTCGGAATGATACATTTAGTACATATGGTTCATTTATAATATCGTAAATCGTAAAATCGTATCGGATTTTACTGCAGACTTTGCGCCCAAAGGAGCATAAAACGTTCATACAAGAAGGCACCACCTCCCCAGATAATCAACGGGGGCAGGCAGCCATGCGATTTATGGGCGGGCGGGCACCGAAAAAATAGTTCGCTGGTTTCTTGCGGTCCGCTTGCAGATATTCGGAAGAATTTTAGCGAAATTTTAGACGATTGCTTAGAGAACAGTCGCTTCTTATAGATTAGCTGCGGCGCAGTGGCCGCATTCTCGCTGACTTTCCGCGAGAATGTGCAAAATTTAGGGCCGCACAGTTTTTTGTGGAGGACCGCGCAGTCCCAGGTACTTTCCGCTGAGAGAAAGTACCTCAAACTTGAGTAATTAAACCAACGTGACAACTCTGTTACACAGAGTCTTACCTGAGCTCGACGTATGCCCGAAACTGCGTAAAAAGAGTCCGAGCGCATGCTGAAAGTTCGATCAGCGCTTGCTGAAAGAGCTTATTTGATGAGCGCCTGCAGAAAATTCTGTGTTGTTGCCCGCTGGCAGAAATTAGACAATAAAGGAAAAAACGCTCGCTGAAGGTTTGGCCACGCCCCAAAATCCTGCTGACCGCTTGCAGAGAAGCGCGAGTTTGCGGACCGCCTGCCCCCCGCGATTATCTGAGTTGCCTCAACGTTCAGCTCAGTTACTTCCAGTGTCTATATTATCATACGTAAGCAAAAAACCCATCTGACAGAGATGAAAACCAAGAAAATGCAATTTCCGGAAGTAGCGTGCGTGTCGCGCACGGTCGCGTCATCGTCACGATTTTTCAAATGCCCTATACCTGCATTGACGTCGACCAGTGAATTTCAGAATCATGTAATGAACATAAAATATAGAATTCGGCTAAATCTAAGTGATGCTTCATTATCCTCTAGTCAAATTGACGACTTTTCTTCTTCTGCAAAGGAAGCAGCCAGGACGGCAGTATCGGATAATAATCGACTTCAACATCATAAAATATCTCCAGGACAGGGTCATTGATGAAAACTTCCGTGGAATCTTCTGTTGTTGCAGATAATTTTGAAGAAATTTCAAAAATAGCAGAAGCTTCCGTCTTGTCCTCAGTCATTTTAGGAGATGTCTTAAACAAAAAGGTTAACATGACGAAGGTAGTAAATAGTACGATAGCACAAGTTTTCCAGACCAAATACGCATCTGATCGAATTTGGTCGAAATAATAAATACAGCATAGTCCTTGCACAAATACTCAAATTTGTATTGTGATTTTGATTGGCTGTATTTGCGTTAGGCAGCGCAAGGATAAATATGCATGAAAGGTTTGCCATATCAGAATATGAGACACCTATCTAAAAGAAAGAGTTATCATCTAAAATCATATTTCTGGCTTTCCAAGAAACATCGCAGTCGTGCCACGTTTCATGAGAACTTCTATCCTTATTTACTCCATCAATTGCGTAGCAATTCGAATTGGACTTCTATCACCCAAGCATGGCAATGAATTTGCGCAAAGTTCCTTTTTGAGGTTAAGTAGATGCGAGTAGACAATATTTACTTTAGTGTAGGTAATTACGGATCTGTCCAGCAAGCGAAAAAAATGTAATCGTAGGGTTTCGTGTGATTTGTACAACAGCCATAGTTCCCACTTAGCCAAAAGATGGTTGGGTTTGACATTGTCAGCATAAGTTATTAATATCATATTAGCCATTTTTTCAATGTTCCTAAAAAGTGCGGTTACACCGTTTAGAAAGCTTCGCAATCTAGTGAATAGTTGAGCATTGAACTCAGCGTCCATAAAAACGCTATTACACAAGTTCACATATTTTTGAAAAATTTTGAGACGGCAGCTTTTTCCACATTGACACCATATGTTTCAAGTTTCTACCGTAATTCTACAGTAATGAAGAAAGGTGGGTGATTCGTTATATACTGCAAATCTAAGTTGAAGCCAGCTCTACAAAATGGTACCTGAAGCAAGGTAAAAGACTTCATGAGAAAAGAGATATCAACGATCAAACAGTGATACATACTTTACGGACACCCTGTATATTACACTTTATTCAACTACATTTTCAGACCCTCATCGAAGAATTATGGAGAAAAGTGGAAATAGCCAAAGTGGAGCTTCATACAAATAATTTAAGAGAGAAGAGAGAACTGGCATGTAAGTTTGTTAGATATTTTCACATACTCACTATTTTTATTCTTCTTGATTTTCCGAATCATCTCTCTTAGTTGAGAATTTCCGTACCAAAAATGCAATTTTTCAGCGTGCTGCGTTGGCCTTCCTGGACCGAAAGGACATCCAGGACACCCAGCTAGAGATGGCATGGATGGAATGCAGGTATGCGCAGTTGAACATTCCAATTTGTGTTCGAAGGTGTTCTATCGTTAAAACCCAACCAGGACGAGCTGGTCGTCCTGCTGATTGGATGCTAGGCCATTGTGCGTCCGTAAATGCCCTATCGGTGAACCGGGGTGAGCCAACTTCAGAAATCCTTTCAAATCATCGACAATGTTGAAGCAGCCTTTGCAGGAGACGCGGCCCACAGGGAGAAGAAGGTGAACGCGGCAGACGCGGGAGCAATGGAGTGCCAGGGAAACCTGCTCTACCTTCTCCTGCGGAAGAATGTGGTGAAATGGGCGAGCAAGGATTCAGAGGCATTACCCGACCACCAGGAGAGCCTGATGAACAGGGAAAGGTGTTCACAGCGGATGGGCGACCCGGCAAGATTATTGAAGGCAGATAGTGATTTGAGGAAATGCTATTTAATTACAGCTTGGAAGGACAATCTGGAGAACGCGGGTACTCCGGACTGAAGGGTGAAAAAGGAAGGAGAGGCGAATTCGGGCCGCTTGAGCCCCAGGTCCACCACTCAGATAATCGCCGGGGGCAGGCGGTCTCGCGGTTTTCTGCAAGCGGTCAGCAGAATTTTGGGGCGTGGCTAAACCTTCAGCGAGCGTACTTCCTTTACTGTCTAATGTTCTGCCAGCGGGCAGCAACACAGAATTTTTTGCAGGCGCTCGTCAAATAATCTCTTTTAGCGAGCGCTGGTCAAATTTTCAGCTGGCGCTCTGACGGTTTTTAAGCAGTTTCGGGCGTGAGCAAAGATGAGATTCTACATGGCGGAGGTGTCATCGATGGTTCAATTACTCAAGTTTGAGGTACTTTCTCTCAGCGGAAAATACCTGGGGGTGCGCGATCCTCCACAAAGGACCGTGCGGCCCCCGGAAATTCTGCATACCCTCGCGGAAAGTCCACGAGAATGCGGTCACTGCGCCGCAGCTAATCCATGAGGAAACTGTGATTGTTCTCCAAGCAATGTCTAAAATTTCGCTGAAATTCTCCCAAATATCTGCAAGCAGACCGTTAGAAATCAGCGAACTATTTTTTTCGGTGCCTGTCCGCCCATAAATCGCATGGCCGCCTGCCCCCGGCGATTATCTGAGCAGGAGCGCAATGGCCTTGCGAAAATTGTCCTCCGCCTCGCGTATCGCCGGGATACTTTACTACCTCAAAGAAAGTTTACGATCAGCTACAATCTATACCTATATGCCAAAACCTTCTATCGTCAATGCTCACGAAAGTGCATGTGTCCGCCTAAGCCTGTAGCCAATAATTATATCTATCGTTGCCTACCATTCGCAAACAAACACGATGTAAACTTCAGGGTCAAAATTTAGAATCTTTTGATTTTGCACAATTCGAGGAGAGGCAAAGACGAAGAGAAGGGCTTATGATCTAATGCATATCAACCTTTTTAAAATGCAGTGAAAACTATCTGACAACACACTTTCGATAGGCTAGAGACAGCTTCAAGAGTAAGAATTGTTTGGAACCTTCTCTCCCCATAGTGAAGGTAGTCTTAAGCAAATAAGAAAAGAGCAAGAGATCTGGACTAAATAGCAAAAGAAAAAGAATCTGCTGAAAACCAGGTAAAAACGCGACATTAAATTTTAATCTCTCTTTTGGCGGCAATTCGAACCGCAGCCTCTCCAGTAAATCTCGATAACTTGAGGAAAAAAGGACTGAATTGGCTTTCGCTCATGGTCCGGAGACGGCAATTGCCTACAAGATGTAAACACGAGAAAGGCTTGCTATATTAGGTTGGTGCAAAAGTAATGCGTGTTTTTCTAGCCCTTGTTCCAAGGCAATTGTTTTCCACCAAACTTTTCTCTTTGGGAGAAAGTATGGCATACTGTCAAGAAGCTCTTTTCATGCTTTAAGCAATAATGGTTAAAACGGGCTTCTAGCCTTATTCGTAAAAATTTATAGAGCTTACACAACAGCACTCGAAACCAGAATTTCATTGCATTTACTTTTACGGTCAAACTCATGCTCGAATAAAGGCATTCTTTTGAGAAATTACCTTTTGTTTGTGATGGAAATTGTCTACATTACACATGCTTAGCTATATTTTCTGAGATCAAGCTGACCTCAACATGGGCGGTCCCTGCATTCATTCTGCGGTCTATGATATGTACTAAAGAAAGGAACTGCCGACTTCGCTCATTTCTGTAAGCCTAAGGGCGGGGCCTCCTTTTGACAGTTTTTTGCAAAAAATATTCAGCAATTCAGTACGCAGAAAATCAAAAAATTCCATAGTTGGAGACTATGAAAAAATATTGAGAAAAGGTGACAATTTCGCTTTTTGAATTCTTCTTTTTGCAACTCTTTTTCTTCCAAGCCCTTTCCAGCTCTACTTATACGACTGACTACGACTACAAGGTAGCTATTTATCATCTAAAATTTGCAAATTCTGAAGGGAGTTATGACCAACTGAAAACGAGGTTTCAGAAAAAAAACTTATTTTGCTGATCTATCCATAGTTTTCTGCCCGTTAGTGATATGAGTATAGAGGGATGTGGGCTGTATCGCAAAAAGTTTGCTGCCTCTGATGGTCTTTATCGCCTCGGAAAAAACATATTTGCTAGGAAGTTATAGCACGTCAAACTGTCATTACTTTCGCACCAACTTAATACTCAGGCAGCGGATAGGACCCCTCCGCCGGAGAAATGGCAGGGTCGCGGCGTTTCCCCAGCGGTGGGTCTCCCATTTGTCCGGCGGAGCCCTCCCATTTCTCCGGCGGAGACCTCCCATTTCTGCTCCGGATACCTCCCATTTTCTGCTCCGGAGACCTCCCATTTTCTGCTCCGGAGCCCCCCGATCTTGTGCGCCGGAGCCCTCCGATTTTGTGCTCCGCAAGTCTGCCGCGGCATACTGTAATTAGCCCTAATTAAAGGCAGCTTCCAGGCAGATCTGGACCTATGGGGCTTTTACATGGAAAGTACTTTTGGGGCCCTAACTAAGGCACTGCCGAAGCAGCAGCTCAGGTAGTGCTCTAATGGCGAAGATATTCCCCTCGAAACAGACCCCCGCGAACGTATTCGCATGGATTCATGGCAGTTTCGCGCCAGGATCCACGCTTTGCGCCATGAATCCATGCGAAACACGGTCGCAGGGTCCAGTTTCGAGCAGAATATCTCAGGCGTTACAGCACTACCTGAGCTGCCGGTTGGGTAGTGGGTTAGTTAGGGCCCCAAAAGTACTTTCCATGTAAAATCCCCATAGGTCCAGACTTGCCTGGACGCTGCCTTTAAGCTCCAAACCCCAATTTTGTCTCTAAACCCTACCCAAATTAGCCGAATAGGACCCCCCCCCCCCGGGTAGGAGTTCAGCGCGACCCAAGTTTGCAAACACCCAATTAATAGTTTACTCACGAAGAAAAAATTAGCATAATCAAGAATTTGGGCGGAAGTTTTTGGTAGACACAGTTTGAATTAGAACTCGACAAGTAGTTATACGACGTGATAAACGAAATCACCATACTTTACAGAGAATCACAGTTAGAGAATATAGCAAGAACAACTTGAACAATATTTCGACTATAGAGAGCGTCCTACGGCATGACCGATACTTAGTAAACAAGAAATACTATACAGATACCACGACGGTGGGAAGAAAAATGAATGCAGCTGTGATGAGGTAAAGACAAGGGAAGAGTTGAAAGATTTCTGTTCTCTATCAGAAACTATCCTAATGAGCAGGTTCCACGGTACTGCTTACTGCTTGTTCAGTACTGCTCACTGCTTGTTCATTGTCCAGTTTCATTTTCTTTATCTCCTGTCCATTTTCAGATCTTGCTGCTAGCTGAAACATTTATCATTATCTTGACTCCAAACAATCAACTCAATCAAATATTATGAACCGATCCCTGTATCCAAATCACTCGGGATATCATCCAGAAGAAAAAATTCTCATTCTGATACTTCCAAAGTTGTTGGGCCAGCAAAAGCACGATGCTCTTGCACTCCATTACTTAAATGCAACGTTAACACAAATCTCCGCACCTCCAATTTCGAGCGCCTTCTTTGCCATAGCTAGAGCTCCTTCGAATGCCTTGTTACCTCCGATAAACCCTAAATACCACAAAATGAAGAAATTGGCAAAAAATATGAGAAATTTCAGATGTACCTGTCACGTGCACAAATATGCATCCGTCAATGCCGCAGAGATTAGAAAGCTCCTCAACCAGCATTGTAAAATCGCCAAATCTAGCGTGATCTCAAAGCTGCACTATAAATGATGATAGCATGACCTGCGTTACCGTGCTGACTCAAGACATTCCGCGACGCGACTCTCACCGCACAAACGCAGTTGCGCGAGAAACATGCAATCAAAGGTGAAACACAGCATGGGTGATGTCAAACAGCCAACACCTTGACTGCGGTTCACCCAGACTAACCCCCAACAAGATCTATAGCTTATTGAAACCTCTCGTCGGGCTTGGGGTCAGTTTCGTTCCAGTAGGGACTCACATGATTGACACGACCAGAAAGTCCACCAGGGGCAATATGCATCAATCTCCCGTTTTGAAAGCGGGCGATCATTTCCAATAAAAAATGAATGCCCGGCCGGGTTGGCCGCAGCTTCGTACATTACGGGTCGGGCGGCCAACCCGGCCGGGCAATCATTTTACTATTGAAAATGATCGCCCGCTTTCAAAACGGGAGATTGATGCATACCGCCTCAGATGTTTGATATTTACAAAGTCATATGTTGAAGCAGCAAAACCACACAGCCAAATCAATATAGATAGGAAGAAATCAGCATACAATATGTTGATGATTAAAGCATGATTCTCATCCAAAACGTTATTCGAAAAGAAATAAAACTTTAAGCAAGATATAAATGGATACTGACAAGGCTCTTACCTGGGTGTGCCATCATACTGTGGTATGCCGTTATCGATAGCATCTATGGCTTCGACAAACGTTTCGTAAAGCTTTCGAAAAAATATATACACCATCTTATCGTCGTGAAAGGAATCAAGTATCTGACGATAATAAACTGAATAAGAAAGATTAACCCTGACTGACAATGCTTACCTCTGCAATCAGTTGTTTTCCATAGTGAGCCTAGATCAATCCAGCTGAAATGAGTCTAGAGTTAGAATCCAGGCCCAAATGTCTGCATCGTCTCATTGAACTCTTTGAAAACAGCACGATTATGGAATTACTAACATTAATTGTGTGATCTTCATGACTGTAGGAGACTCAAACTTAACAGCATGCAAAGCAAGACCTACAATTGGTGATGGTCGTATCGTTTCTTCGAATGATCGTATACACACGTCAACGATAACATCGCACTTGGCAAGTACAGCAGGATCCCGTGTCCTGAAATGTCATGATAATGAAATGATGACATTATGGGAGATATCCTCAAGATGAATTGTGTGCAATAAAACGTTCAAGTGCGCAAAGATTCTTTGAGGTGGTATAAAGATGTGACGAGAACCTCTATCAAAACAGCAGGC